CCAGGCTGTGTGCCCCACCCCCCACCCCGAGCCAGGCTGATGTGCTGGCCAGGAGCTCAGTGTGAGGGAGTCTGAGGCACTCGGGATGGTAAAGATTGAGGCAGGCGAGGGAGGTCCCTGGAGAATCAGGGCTCAGTGACAAGGCAGGTCAGGTGGATTTTACAATCCAGAATGGGCGCGGGACTTGGGAACGATCACTGCCATGACCCACCTTGGCAAGGATGAGTCCCGTGTGCTGCCAGTGGCTTCCCTGCCAGATCCAGCTCGTGTGGGGGGCAGCACGTAGGGGCAGGCCAGGGGCAGCGGAGAAGCCCCAGGGTCCTCACTGCCCTTGCCTGGTCCCAGGCCTGGAAATGCAGCCTGTTTCTGGAAAGAGGCCCATCTCCCTGTAAAGCCTTTGGTCATCCCTAGAAATTAGACAGGTGTCCTCCAGAATGAGCCTCCAGCAGCAGCTCCAGGGGAGGGAACTGGGAGGGGTTTTTCCAGTTGTCCTGTAAAACCCAGAGACGACCAGAAAGATCTCTCACCTCTCCGACCTCTTCCTGCTGCTCCTGTGGGTGGTTTCTGGCAGTTGCCACTTACATACCCACTAATCCACCCCCCTCTTGGTGGGAGCCCACTCTTATTCCACAGCCTCACTATGACCAGACCCTGCCCAGTGCCCCTGGGCAGAGCAGGACAGGAACAGGCTCCCCCCACCCCCAGGAAAACCACCTCCCGCAGCATCGGGGTCACTCCAAGGCCAGGGCTGGGGTCTGGCCCGACTCTCCATGTCAGCCCTTGGCCCCGTGTGGGGAACCCTAGGTTCCCGCCTGTCCAGCCCAGGCTGTCGCAGGTCCTTGGGGCCTGGCGGTCTGGGGGCTCTCCCTGGGCAGTGAGGCATGCCTTTACACGTTTGCATGGCGTGGGAGCCGACGCAGGGGGGCCAGTCCAGCTGGTCCCAGCTGGCGGTGGAGAGAAGAAAGGCGGGAAAGGACTGGGCCCAGGTAGGGCGGATCCCTGCAACAAGTCCCAAGACGGAAGCCGAGGACCGGCTGCAGGAGGCCCACGCTGCAGAGAAGCAAGGTGCAGAGGGGCCGAGCCAGGAGGAGCACAGCCCACTCCTGAGTGGACATTGGCCTTGAGCAGCCACGGACCCATCCCGCCATGGGCCATCGGTGGCCAGCCAGCCAGTGAACGCCAAGAACCAAGGAACAAGCTTCTGGAAGCAAAAGCTGCCCGTTGCCAGGACTGAAAGCAGGTGCTGCGGCCGAGAGGCTGGTGAGCTCTGTCCTGCTCCCAGTGGAGAGTCCCACTGGGCCGGCGGGAGACACTCTGAAAGATGGCATGAACTGCAGCCGCAGTGCAGGGATGGCGGCCTGGAAGAAGCCCCTCTGCCCCGCGCCCCGGCCTCTCCTGTCCCCAGCCTCTCCTTCACATTCGGTGGCCGCCAAGCCCGCAGTGGGAGAGCTAATCCTGCCTCGGTCTGCTTCCCGTCAGGCTTGTTTTCCTCAGCAACTCCCTTGCCTGAGCCAGAGCCCTGAGGTGTGGCGTCCAGCTGGCCATCTGGTCTCTCAAACAGCAGGACTGGCCTCTGCGCCAGCCCCCCAAGTCACATCTGCCAGGGCTGGTGGTGCCTTTCTCCCCAGTTCCAGCTCCCCAGCGGTAGCCCTCCCCAGCTCCTCCCCACACTGTGGTGACTGGCTTGAGGAGGCCAGGGGTCCGAGGTGGGTCTCTCGGACAGCTGTCCCTCCAGCCATCCGCGGGCCTGGGACACGCAGGTACAGAACTGAAGCCCAGGCCAAAAGCCCAGGTTGCAGTGGCCCAAAGAGGCCAGCTCTGACAGCTCAACTATAGAACCTCTCCCCCAGCCTCTGACAAACCCACTTCCTCTCCCAGACACGGCCAAGGTCACCCATTTCCCAAGACGAGAGGCCGACCTGCCGGAGCTGCAGCAGGTGCCTGAGTGGCATTTTGGTGTGTGTGGGGGGGGATAATTATTCCAGCACCTCTACCACCCAGCAGAAAAATACAATACTGAGTTCAGTTGGTCATTTAGCAAAGGTTTGCTGAGCACCTACTGTGTGCTAGGCTCCTAGAAAGGGGGAGACCACAGCCAGGGGCTGACAGGATCCCCTGCAAAGCCCTGTGGTCAAGAAGATAAAGCTGGGAGTGGGCAGGGCAGAGCCCAGCACCCTCAGGAGAAGGTGGTTCCTGCCCCAGCGCCGCCCAGGCCACTCCATGGGGGTGGAGGGCCTGTGCAGACGCAGAGCTGCAGCGCAGAGCTGGGGACACTGATCTACATTCCCAGGATGCCATAGAGGGTACAGCCAGCCAGCCTCGAGGCACAGCTGCCCTCCTCTGTGGGCAGACAGACGCACACAGGCCAAGGCTGCTGACCTCGGGAGCCCGGCCACCTGCCTAGGATGGCATCTCTGCCCCACATAGTGTCCCCTGCTCCTTTTCTTGTCACCAGGAACCCCGGCTTTTCTAACCCTCCTACTCCACGCTCAGAAGTTAGTACACCTGGTAAACTGCATCTTATATCAAGGACCCCCCTTCTTCCCCAAAGAGCCACATGGTGGCACCCAGCCCTCAACCAGGCGACAGCACGGAGCCAGCGTTAGGCCAGAGGGAGAAGGTCTTGGCCTTGGAGGGACGTTGCAGATGGCTCCTGTTCTCCCATGGCCACATCTGCAGCCCCTCCAGGAGTAGGTCCTAAGTCCTAAGCACCTACTGTGTGCCAGAAACAGGGCCACACAAACTGGAGTCTTGCTTCTTGGAGAGGTCACGAGCAGGGGCGAGTCACCCCTTCCCCCAGGGCCCAGGCAACATGGCCATGGCTGCACCCTGCACAGATGGCCCCCAAAGAACAGGACCCTGAATTTCCCTGGGGCCCCCCAGAGCCCGAGTGGACTCTAAAAGTCTCTGTAGGCCTCCAGTTTCAATGGGAAGGCAGGAGGTCCCCCCACACTCTTGCCACGACGGCTCTGGGCTCAACTCTTTGCCATCTGCACACACAACTCTGGGTCCCTGTGATTTGGGTGCAGCCAAACTTGTTCTCAGATGTGGCCCAGTGACCCACCTGAGGCGGATAGTGATTCCCAGAACTGAGGATCCAAACCAAGCGCACCTGATCCCAGAGCGGAGACTGAACCTTACAGGTTGTCAGCCCTGGCAGAGTGTCAGGGGCGGGGACATGAAGGGCAGAGAGGGCAGAGAGCAAGGAGGGGTGGGGGTGGGGACCTGAGGACTCTGGTCCCTCCATTCGAACTTGAGCCTGTGGGGTTGCTCATGCTGAGGTCCCCGCTGCTGCGGGCCCAGGCCCTG